GGGGATTGAACTCAGGCCCTTGCGCTTGCCAGGGAAGCACTTATTCCACTGAGCCATCTCCCCAGTCCCCTTTTTTTTTTACTCAGCCTACTTTTTAAAAAGACTTTTCTTTTCCACTACTGGATTATTTGTGCACATTTCCTGAAAAATTTAAGCATGGATTTATTGCTGTTCTCTGCTCTTTCCTGCTGAAATATGTGTTGATTCTTAGGTTAATGCCACACTGTTTTGATTATTAGAGCTTTCTAGTAAGTCTTTAAGTCTAAAGTGATAATCTTATTTTGTTCGTGTATTAAATTGCTTTTCCACGCTGATTGATGAGAATCATCTGATATTTATTATTATTATTTTTTAGGTTTTTTGGTGGTACCAGGGAGCAAACTTATTCCACCGAGCTATCTCCCCAGCTTGATATTTACTATTGACTTACTAATTATCCCTCTTTACTAGAATGTAAAGCTGTAGTGGAAGTATCAGTTTATTCAATTCCACACAGTGTAGTCTGTTCCCAGAAAAATGCTGAGTATTGTTGGTGGTGAATATATACAAATATATTTAATGAATAGCTTGCCATGATCATTTAATCAGTTTAATAAATATAGTCACACTTTATTTTTATGGCTCTATACCAGGGGCAATGCTCTCTGGTATGATCACTACCATATTTTCACTCTCAGACATTTTATTTAGCTTAAAATTTTTATTGTTAGAAGTACATGTTGAGGTCCTTGGTGCTTACGTCCACCCTGGGGAGCAGGATGTGTGCGCAGCACACCTAAATTCTTTTCCATCCACTCCCCTTCCTTCCCTCCCCTCCCCCTTCCATCTCTTGATCCTCTTTGCACTTACAAAAAACTATCTCCCTGATTCCCATTTTCTCTCATGTACTTTGTATAGTTTAAAATATCAAATGCCTTCTTGACATGCGAAAATAAATCTGTGCTAATGATACTTAAATTGATGTCCAATAAGACCTAAAATTCAGGGCCAGGGAGATAGCTCAGTAGAAGAAGCGCTTGCCTGGCAAGTACTAGGTCCTGAGTTCAACCCCTGGTACCACACACAAAAAAAAAAGATCCAAAATTCACGACACAAGGATAATTGCAGATAAATTTTAGAGGATCATTCTTAGTAGTTAAACTCAGAAAAACAGATTAGTCTGAGTACTTAAAATTGTACTAATATGCTTTTAATAAGAGCGGGTTTCATTTTGTATCTGTGTATTCAAAGAGGTTGGGATAGATATATAGTTGCATTCTCTTAATGAATAGAATGATTTGTTCTAATGGTGTTTGTAAATAGGATCACAAGTCCGCATCTTGTACAGCAATTAACCACTAAGAAGAATATATGCAGTGTATTATTTGTTGAAACTGTACTTCCGATTTGATTTGAAACTGTCTCATTGCTGTTTATCAATAAAACTTTGAAAAAAAAATAAAAAAAAATTTAAAAAAAGAGCGGGTTGACTAGTATGCTAACTGATTCTCAGAAAAAATAAACAGCTTTCATAATATAGTATTTCAATCACGTGTCCTTTAAATTACTGTACTAAATACTTGTAAAGCTACACACAATTTTTATGTCCATAAGCTCTGAAGAACATCACAGCCCTGAGTAACAGGCATGTTCATGACCAACTTGTTCAGCTGCATGAGGCTGAAATGATGTAGTCTGAAGATCAGGGGCCCGTGCTTCTACCCCACATCTTTCTGAGCATCTCCCAAAGGCTTCCCAGCACCATGGGACCTCCTACCTCTACTCAGCAACTCACAGGTCTGGTCCTTGTGATATGTTCTTCTCCTTGTTAAGGGACTTTGATCACTCAGGAAAAGCTGTAGATAGAGATCAGAATTTCTGAGCAGGACTAATCTTTAGCTAGTATGCCTCTGAATGATTGAAAATCAAAAGGCATCCCCAACTTTGAAGACACATTTTATTGATGAGAAACATCCAGCAAGTAGTAACTAAGCAGGATGTACAAAAAGGGAAAATATATAGAAAAAATCTCATACAATTTTTAGAATGATGATCACTGTACAGAAGCAAGCAAACAAAAGAGAAACTGACTGACATAAAATTCTCCATCAGATAAGCTTCCAAAATGCTTACGGAGGATTATTTTATACTCAAAATTTCATACCTAACAGAACAATTAAAAATGGAAAGAGTTTTGAGATATGCAAAAATTTAGTAAGTTCATATCCATAGAACATGTATGAGGGCTGGCCAGATAGCTCAGCGGATTAAAGTGCCTGTTTAGGCAGAGCGCAGTGGAGCATGCTGAGACAGTGATTGAGACTGGGCGTGGTGGTGCATGCCTGTAATCCCAGTGCTTGGGAGGCTGACAACAGGAGAATCATTACTCTGATCTATTTAGTGAGATCCTGTAGACCCTGTCCTAAATACAAAAGAAAAAAAAACATGTACAACAAAGTTATTCCAAGACATACATCAATGAAAAATACAATTAAAGATGAAATTAGAAGGAAGAGCCAGTTGTTCTTCTTCTTCAGATCTAACTAAAACAAAGAAATCAAAAAAGAAAAGGAAATGAAGAAAGAAAAAAGAGGAAGGAAGGAAAAAAGAAAGGCAGGGAAGAAAGAAAGGAGGGAAGCGGGGAGGGAGAGGGTTACAATTTTGTAAAGTTTTTTAAAGGGACATTCCATTGCATGTTTTGTTCAAATAAGAGACAGCATTGCATTATTCTTAGAGCATGGAATTTGGAAACCTAGCTATTTGCAGTTAACCACTATTTGCAGTTTGAATCGTAGGCTGTGCCATATCTTTTTGGTAAGATCACACACAGGTACCTAAATACAGACATACACCAACACATAATCATATTGTAATATTAGGATATTAAGCAATGCTATCATAACAATAATATTAATAGTACTGAAAGCTGACTATTTTTCTCTGGATGCCCCATAAATGATGATGTTAATTTTTTATCTTCCCAGGGGACGGCCAAATAGCTCAGTGGATTAAAGTGCCTGCAAGCAGGCACGGGGGCTGGGGGTTGATCCTCATGCGCTGTGCCAGCCCCGCCCCCGGGGCACTCTGACACAGCAGTTGAGTCTGGGTGCCGTAATCCCAGCTCTTGGGAGGCTGCATACAGATGGATCATTGAGTCCAATCTAGTAGTGAGACCAAACACAAAAAATAAATAAATATTTTTTTTTTTATCTTCCCATCCATATGAACATTTCCCCTCCTATCTCCTTCCTCCTTCCTTCCCCTTTTTATTAGGTGAAAAAAAAAAAACACCATGTACTTACCTTAGGAACACCTAAATGGTTCTCTCCTTTTGTAGCACATTATCCCTCCATACCAGTTCTTATCTCCTCCCTAGCCAACAAAATTGAGAAAGGGAGCTGATTTTTTCTAACCTCCAGAGATTTTTTTTTAAAGGCAAATGTGATTTAAAAAAAAAAGACTGTCACAAGTTAATTTCCACAGCTTCTCCGATGTGCATTTTCAAGTATAGAACTCTACAGAGCAAACAGCCTCTAAAATTACCACATGAATACTTTATCATGTCAACTAAACGTTGTTGCTGTTTCTCATATTCTGAGCTATGACTCATTTTTCTCCGCACCTTCATCTCCCTTTTTTATCCATTTTCCTTGCTGACCGATTCTGACGCAAGGCCAAGTATCAGAAAAAAGACCCTTGGCTGCTAATGGCAAAGCGCATTCTGAATTTGCATAGCAGAAGACGGCCAGACCCCCCAGAAAGTTTTAAAATAAATACCTTTGCCTAGGGCTGCTGGCCCTGTCTCCTTTTCTTTAGAGCAATCCAGACGTTTCAGTCAGGGAAGTGCATGTTGCAAATTACACCAATTTTGAAAGTGAAACTAAAGCTAATTTAAAAAACAGAAGAGCTCTGGTGTTTGGTGTACGCTAAAGTGGAGAAAGAGAAAAAGGGAAAAACAAACAGAAAATACAGGATTATCTCAGAGGGGTGCTTTATTTGCTGCTTTAAAATGTATCTTTCAAGATTTTGGGGGAAGCCTGGATTCTATTGAAATGGTCACAGATTTCATCAGGGAAAGTGCTGAAAATGTTGGAAGCCATTGTTTGGTGTGAGCAAGGCTGGCATTCTAGAAGTTAATGAACACTGTGCTTCCCTGGGAGTGAATTCTCCCTGAGAGCGAATTCTGAGTTGCATACCGCTGAAAACCTGTCAGATTTGAGATGCATTTGCTCAGAGGGACAGAGAAAACCTTTAATCCCTAATTGAAGCTAAAGCACTTTTCTATCACTTACCTTGTTTTATCTTCTAACCCTGTAAAATAAGCAAGGTAGAATTTAACCTCCTGATAAAAAAAGTTAATCAACTTTTATGGCAGTGACAGAGCAGAGAACGCGGAGAAAGCTGGGCCAGTCCTAGCACCGCACCAGCACCTGCGAAGGGTCAAATGAGCTGCATACTGGTTGGACCAGCGAAAGCTCAGGTTAACTATTACCTTCTCAATGAATTTTGAGGGCTGCAGTTAGTTAAAGGAACATATTTACAAGGAAGACATTTTCAGTATCTCATTACTGATTGCTTTAGTTACTCTTTTCTCGTTGCTGGGGCAAGAATATCACACCCAAAATGAAGGAAGGAAAGGTTTATTTAGCTCACAGTTACTGGAAGCTTCAGTGCATATTCAGCTGGCTACAAGGCAGAGCAGCACAAGGAAGAGAACAACCTTTCATGGCGGGGCAAAGAGCAAGAGCCAGGCCAGGAAGAGGTAGCAGCAGCTCAAGCAGCTAGCTTCCCTTCCTACCTTACATTGTAATGCAAATTACCTGTATTGCATTACATTGTAATGCAATAAGCAACAACCTTTTTTATATTAATTTTATTGAGAAAAAAATAGCAATGAGACAGTTTCAAAACAGGCTAGTAGGACAGTTACAATAATTAATACATTCCATATTGTTGTGTTTGTAGTAGTTATTCATAGTACAAAGTGCAGACCTGATATCTTGTCCGAACACTATTAGTTCAAAACTTTCTTCTCATTGAACTAAGAAAAAGTAGTTGTATATCTATGCTAACTATTTTGTGTATATATATATTTTTTTTTCCCACTACAAAATGGTCCTTTGTTTATAGCTGCCTTTTTGGTTTACTTTTGTCATAGATGGGTATTCCATTGCCATTCAAATAATGCAGGTACATGAATTCAGCAAAATAATCCAATATAGTCCAGTAGTTTATAATAGTAGTGGGCTATCCGCAGGACTGGCAATGTCAGAAGTTGCTGACTTGAGCCTTTTACTGCTCAGCAAGCAGCAATCTTGAATAAACAATTGTTCATCCGTGGGGACGTGCAAGAAAACAAGTGATGCACTCTACAATTTAAAAGACTTCATCTCTGTGAGCTCTTTCAAGATGGCATGAGGTATATTCTTGGTACTATAACTCTGACCACCTTTCTGTGGTAGAGTATTGATACATTTCTTTTAAATAGTTGACTATAGCATGGTCTTCTATAGTAACTCTTGGCTTGCCTGTGTGACCAACCTTGCTGAATGGGACAGTGGAAAGTGTGGAGTGGAGCTTGATTGCCAAGGGGGCTCAGCAAGTTCTGATCAAGCACTTGTATGCAAGACCTCTTAGCTTAGACCCCCAAGTTTCTTTTATGCTTCTTCTATTCTTCTTCTTTCATGCTTCTTTTTGCAAACTCTGACTCTGTACTGGGGAGCCTGACTTAGCTGTACAAGGGCCACATCAAGGAAACTGAGACTGGCTAACAGCCCAACTGTGTATCAAGTAGACAGGTAGCGTCAGCTTGACCTATGAATAAGCTCTATTGGGAGCGCACGTCCCCTCCGCAGAGTTATTCCAGTAGGATCACAAGGAACAGAGCTAACCTATCCTCAGCAAGTTTTGTAAATTTCAGAATAGTATGCCAGTTCTTGTTGCCAATGACTGTTACTTTAAACAAAAAATTGGAGGACTGGGCCATGCACTATCAGCAAATGAAATATATTTCCTTAATAATGTCAGGTGTCTGTCTCTTGTGCCTTATTATTCCTTACACTACATGTTGATTTTTGCATAGTGTTGTTTGACTAAGAAATGGGTTTCAGTAAATACTTTTTACTCATGATCTCATAATGTAATAATTGTTACAGGCTTAAAATGAGTTCACATCCAGATATTACTAGTTCTGGATTCTACTTTCCCTCTAAATACTATACAGATTATTTTCTCTCCATGGCATCTTTCTTAATTATGTGACTTATCTAGTCAAAAAGTGATGAGTGGTACAGAGAAAATGCTTAGTTTTCCTTTTTTAAGATAAGCAAAAAATGTAAGATATACTCATAAGTGAAAAATAATGAATACAGGGTTTACTAGCAGTTCATATAGCATTATAGAGCAACCAATTTCAAAATAAATGTGATGTGCATTATTCCCAGCAGACCTCAGAATTTCCAACAGAATTTCAGAAGCCACATTCTCTTGAATGCATTAAATCTGTAAAAAGAGTCCAGCAAGTTTTGTCCTTCAACCAAAGAGAGCTCATTTTTATGAGAAGTTAATAAAATAATGTGTATAAAAGCCTGGAAAAATGAATAGAGAAAACAACAAATTTCAGAGGCTACAAATGATGGAGTGAAAAATTTCTAAATTACTTTTTACTTATTTATTAAACAACAGATGAAGTACACTTATCTGCTTGTTTTTAACTGTAATTCTCAAAAAGCTAGTCATTGCTTTTAAAGAATGTTTTCAATCATTTTAATTATAGGAGAATAAATTTTTAAATTTAAGTATAATTATAGGAGGTTTGTTTAGTACATATAAGATTCATGAGGGAAAGCTTGATGATCACTTTCATTATTGTCAGTCTCTGCCTCTAATTCTAGACTATTAGTATTGGCATCAGTACTAGTCTACTGAAAACTTTGTATTTTTGGTGTTTGTTTGAGACAGGGCCTTGCTTTTGATCAGCAGGCTAGCTTCAAACTCATTATGTAGCTTAGGCTGGCCTCAAACTCCTGGTGATCCTCCTGCCTCAGCCCCGGAAGTGCTGGGATTACAGGCATGCACCACCGCAATCCACCACTAATGAAAGCCTTATGAAACAGTTCTTACGATCTTCCATATGGATTCTTTTAGGCATGAAGATTACAAAAGTGCAGTTTTTGACCACTGTTGAAATGATGGGACAAACAATAGACTTTCTTCTCAATGGATGTATGTATAATAAGTGAGATTAATATTTAACAGTCATTACACATAACCCAACGCTGTGAGGACAATGGGAAGCAAACTGATTTTTGAGGAATAGTCAAACTTATGCTAGCGATGAATGACCAATTCAGGAGCCAGTGAGCTATTGGGTATTTCAGAATTAATATGCACAGGTATGATATAAATGGCTTTTAAAGAAACTTGGAAGTAAATCTTTATTAATGGAAATAAAGAGATTGGAGTAACTAGCCTTCTCTAAGTTATTAGAAAGCCATATTTTTCATGATTAAAACTTTTTGTGAGCATTTAATATGAGGATATATTGTGTACCACAATAATAAATTTCTTGTTGAACATTAGACAGTGGTAGACACTGTGCTTAATGTCCTCTCTTCACAGTCACCATTCACAAAGATCACTGTCCTGCTCTGTACCATATGAAAGGCTAAAAGGCACTTGGTTTCTTTTTGAAAACTTTCTCTAAAGATTCAGTTCCCCTTGCCAGTGTTATCCATTTCTGCTAATTGAAGGGCAGGTTGTTTAACCTAAGATGAACCAAAGAACCTAGTCAGAATTTCAACAAGGAAAGAAGAAATACACTATGTTCTCTTTCTTGATTTTCACTGCTGGCTCCCAAGCAGCTTTGAACTTCCTTTCTGAAAAAGAAACCACAAGAGCTATGGTTTAACCTGAACTTCACTTTTTGTTTTATTTGTAATTTTAAATATTAGTTGAATAATGGTGACATATTTTTTACAAAATATGCACGGCTTCATTTATTTCTTTAAAAAACACTTGATTAGGTATAGTTGACATATAAAATGTATACTTATTCAATATATACACTGTTACAAGTTTGAAAACAAGTATCATTATAATTTCTACTTTAAATCTATTGCCTCTATAAATTACATACTCTCATTTATTTATTGTTTTTGGTGATAAGAACTTTAGATTTACTCTCTCAGAAAATTTTAAATGTTCAATATAGTACTGTTAAGTATAGGCAGGTGATGGTTGAGCTTAACTTGATTGGCTTGGTAGCTGCACAAGTAAAGCACACTTCTGCAAGGATCTGGGTGTGTCATGGAGGTGTGACCTTGGTGCTACATAATGGCACCCAGTCACTCTTCTCAGCTGCTTCCTGTCCACTGCTCTGCGTCACAGCTACCATGAAGTGTGCAGCTTTGGTACACCATGCCTCTGTACCTGGATTTTCTTGTTTGATCAGCAGACAATGGAGTAAACTTTTGAGATCAGGAGCCAAATAAACTTTTCCTCCTCTAAATTGTGGGTGTTGAATACTCTTTCTCAACAATATTGAAGGTAACTCATACATAAAATCAGTGCCAGGGCACCGTATAGTTGCTGTGATTGTACCTGATTGTACCCTGATGAAGTAGGGTCTCCTAGTAGCTGGTTCTCTGAAAATTGTCTCATCATGATTATTCATCCAAACATTAAAAGGCCACTACTACCATGATCTGAAGGGGCCTGGCTTCTATGCTAGCTAGTGGCAGACTTTGCTGTTCATTATATACTATTGGTTGTTCAGGCATTCAGAAGACAAGAGATGTGGGGTCATAAAGGCTTCTACCCAGGCTTGAGAGGAAAGCTTGGAAGACCAGAAAAGGAGCTCCTTACAGTGCATAAAGCTGTGAACAAGCCTAAAGTGAAGAGGAGATTCCAGTAAGTTGGAGATTCTAGAAATACGGATCATCTGCTGAAGAAATCCAGTTAACAAGTAGTGCCAGCCCAAGAGAGAGACTGTGTAGGTTGCAACAAGCAGAGCCATAAGGGTGGTACTGCCCAATCCTCAGATGCTCACACCTTATCACACTGTGCCTTGGATGCTGAATGTGGAGCTATAGGACTTAACACTCTCTGCTGGACTTTGGTCTTACTTTGTCCATTTCTTTTCTATACCTCATTCTTCCTTCTTAGATAGGTACATTTATTCAGAATCATTATATCAGAGGATTAAATAACTTGCTTTTCAAATTTTCAGGGTTTTTTTGGAGGGGCGTTCAGCCCACCCTGAGGCTGGGGCTGAGTATG